CTAGCTTTGGCTCCGTCAATAGTATCGGCTACGAAATTCCATGGATAATCTCTACTATATAATTAAAACATAAAATAAGGAACACACAGTCAATTGTTTAAGTCGCGTAGTTATTTAGCGACTGATAGAAAAAATTGGAGAGTGTCATATCATAAACATCATTTGAAAAATATCCAATATTAAGTGCCTGCACGAATAAAAAATTAATATGGAATGAATAAACATGTTGGCAATACTGATGTAGATCGCACGGAGGTGCTTGATGGTATTTTAGGCTCTCAAATTATCTGATTTAGGTATTATACGTTATTCTATGTCATACTATCCCTTTGTTAATAATAGGCGGCACATTTAGCAGAGGAATTTGATGTATCGTAGAGGAGAATGATGATATTCATGTAAATTTGTCGTTATGAATATTTCGTTATCTCCCGCTATAAAAACTATTAATTGTTATACTGTCAAACAAAATTTAGTCTTCGATTTCACTCACGAAATCAGCAACGCTTCTTCAATTCACGTGAAGACTAAATATCGTATATAACATGATCATATATGCTTTAATCGTATAGTTTTCAGTAAAACGCAATTTAGTAAAACCATAATATCAAATGGATATTTATTTTATAAATGGTTGAAAGATTGAAATATCTTTAAGGATACAAATATTTAAATATTTGATTGTAAGATAAAGCGAAAGATGTATATTTAGTTATTTATTGTATTTTTGTTATATCATCGATTTGTTGCTAAATAATTGTATTTATATAGCGTATATATGTATTAAATTATGTATAGTATAAATTCCGCTTTTAGTTCACCATAAAGCGTGCATTTATATTAATCTGAAAAATGTCCGACTACTAAAAGACTTATACCTGTTTAATTCAAAGTAAAATCTTTATCGTATTGATAAGTACTTACATGTTGAAACTTCTGCTGCACATAAGAAGCAATTGTAGATCGCTTTCGATCAGTGGAAGTTAGTTTGTTAATGGTCATAATAATTATTGATATGCGTTAACACTGCGATTACTTAGCGGCGAGATTATTACAAAGTTTACGGTATTGATTATTATATAATATATTATATAAATATATATGTATGTAGATTGTTTTTTGTTTTATATACTACCATACTACGTAACGTAAATATAAGATCTCAACAAACAAGTTGTCAATCGAAATTCACATACAAGCTAATTCATTATACAGTGTTATTATTACAATCGTCCGAAGGTTATCAAACATCACGGGTCAAAAGAGAAATTTGTGTATATAATGAACTGCAGCTGTTATTTTGCAACATTAATGCTGTCATATAGTTTCTAAATCTTCATTGTATCAAAACTTTCACAAATGTCCGAAACAGCGAAGAAAGTCGTCTTAGCTTATAGTGGTGGTTTAGATACATCATGTATATTACTGTGGTTGAAAGAACAAGGATATCAAGTTATTGCTTATATGGTAAGGTTACTTAATCTAATTACTTTCTTTATAAAACAAATAATACATGAGTATCTTAATTTAGGCAAACATTGGACAAAACGAAGATTTTAGTGCAGCTAAAAAGAAAGCATTGAAAACTGGTGCTGTGAAGGTAACAACATGAAAATTAATTAAAGGTGCTGTTTTAAAATCATGTATCAATACTAATAATTCTCTTAGTTATAACTGATTTTCACAACAATCAAATACATTCTTTCTACTAATTTTTCTACTTATGTAAAAGTGTATTTCTAATTATGTACAAGGTCGTAATAGAAGATCTCAGAGAGGTTTTCGTGTCTTCGTTTGTGTGGCCACTTATTGCATGTGGATTGTGTTACGAAGGTAGATATCTTTTGGGTACAGCAATCGCACGACCATGCATTAGCGAAGGTTTGATAAGAACTGCAAAAGTTGAAAATGCATCTATAATCGCTCATGGTGCAACTGGAAAAGGCAATGATCAAGTCCGTTTCGAGTTGAGCTGTTACAGTCTTTATCCTGCAGTTCAGGTATTCTATTTCAACTTTGCATTCCTTTTACATAATTTTATGTATTTCCTTCTTCCTTCATATTATTACGTAGGTACTCGCACCTTGGAGAGAGAAAGAATTTTACACAAGATTTCCAGGAAGACCAGATTTATTAAAATATGCTCAACAAAATGGAGTAGTTGTTTCGGCTACACCAAAAGAACCATGGAGTACTGATGCAAATCTATTACACATCAGGTATAATTGAAATTATTTTTTCCATTATGATTAGTAAACGTAGAAGACGTAATAAAAAAATTGAAATTTACGTAAATATATTCTCAGTTATGAATCCGGTATTTTGGAAAATCCTGCAATGTCAGCTCCGAAACAAATGTATAAAATGACTGACGATCCATTAACTTCATCGGCGAAACCGGAAGAAATTGAAATAGATTTTAAGCAAGGGTATCCATCGACAGTAAGAAATTTAACCACTAAGGAAGTATTCTCTACGTCGCTTGAAATAATGCAATATTTAAATAAAATCGGTGGTCTACACGGCGTAGGACGCATTGATATTGTCGAAAATCGTTTTATTGGCTTAAAGGTGCGTAAAGTAAGATTCAATTGTAAGTTATTTCGTACAACTACCATATATTGTTATCGCTAATATTGTAGTCTAGAGGAGTTTACGAATCACCAGGAAGTAAAATTCTATACGAAGCGCATCTAGATTTGGAGACGTTCATATTAGATCGTGAGGTTTTAAGAGTAAAATCTTATTTGACCAACAAGATGTCCGATTATGTTTACAATGGTATATAAACATACAAAGTACTAATTAAGCAAAATCAAAACAGATTTTACAGATGAATAAAACTGTCTTCCAGGTTTTTGGTTCTCTCCCGAATGCGATTTTGTGCGAAATGGTATATTACATTCACAAAAATATGTAACTGGAACGGTCAAACTGGAGTTATACAAAGGAAATGGTTAGTATGAATAAAATAAATTTTAATAAAACACTAATTACCCTAATGTTACAGTGTCGATACTTAGCCGATATAGCAAGGCGTCTTTATACAACGAAAGTTTAACATCGATGGATGTACAAGGAGATTTCGAACCTGAAGACGCGGGTGGTTTCATACGCACGCAAGCTTATAGATTAAAAGAATTTAATCGTTTCAAAAATGAATGCGATATTTAAAATAATTCAGTAATGTGTATAATTTGCATTAAAACTGTATAATACTTCATAAATGCAATATACTTAAAGCTATGCTGTTTGTATATACTATTATTGAAGAAATAAAAAGTCCGATGATTTGTAAGGTACTGAAATATGAAATCAATCATTTTCAATTGTTGCATATCAATTTCAAGATATTTTTTATTTAATTTTAATTGCCTTGCTATCTTAAATTTTATATATGAATTATTCTAAGAGGATAAGGTCACAGATGAAAAACTTTCAGCACAATTACTTTCAATTAGTTATTAATAATTAAATCTTAGGATAATTAGTATATTTGTAGAGATTATTATAACGTATAATATGCATTATTTTTATCTGTATTAATAGTATACACAATGATACTTCTTATCCTTTCTAATAGGTCCGCAACATAAGAGAAAACGTCAAACATGAGACAATAATATTTCAGTTAGTATCTCTTTTATCAATGACTATGTAATTTTTGTATATACCTATAATTAATAATCTGCAGTAACTTTGTATTCACATTTGTCTCGTAACATTAATTGAAATATGTAATGAACGTCTCTTTTCTTATTTTTAGGGATTAATAAGAGAACAGACCGTATAATTCAATTTGATATTGTTAAGTAAATCGAGATTGGAGTTGAACATAATTGTTCACTCATATTTGATGTTACATTACCGCGTTTGTCGTTTATTAAATGAAAAATTTCAGTTTTCAAAATAAGGAATTGGTGTTGTAAGCTATATGCGATTTTAAATCATAATTGATAATACGGCGATATCTTAGAAAAATATATCGAACAATCTTCACAAATGCATTTTGCATATGAGATGCATTTGTACAGAAAGATCGTATCAGAGGTTCAATAACTGTTTTCTTATTAGCTTTCTTCGAATGATATGGATTGCATGAACATAAGGAAAAAATGTCAGGTTTCTTCTGAATAATAATGGTGCTGCAGTTGGAAGTCAAGGGTAAGCGTGCGAACAAACTTGGCCTAGTAAACAACGTTCTCTCTTACTTAACAACATCAAGCATTTCTTTATTTTAGCCATTTATTCTTCATTTCATCATTATTATTTATGTACAACCAGCTTTATGTCTTGCTATCGTTAGTCGTAATAAGTCTACTAAAACTCATGTGCCATTGGAGATGATGTGCGCCCGTGGGAACTTATATAAAAAATTATTTTTTGATACAGCGGAGTGATTTTGGTGTTACTTACGAATTATTACGTCTTTACCTAGTAACTTATACTGAGATCTAGTAGGTTATACACTCTATCGGCCTCCCTTAAATATTACAAACCTTATCACATATATAGAGGTGTGTATTAGTACTTATTACTTTTTATACATAGATATCTGTATTCTGTTTAAATTGCTGCCAATGATTTTTTTTTTTCTCGTATGTACAATTACAAACCATGTATTATACAATCATAATACCTAACACACTCATTCTCCTTGCTCTCTTCCATTCTCACTCTCATTCCTATGTCCATCTTTTCTCTTACGCTCTATCTCTTTCTCTTTCTCAAGCTCACTCTCTTTATTAATTCTTTCATTTTAATATTTTTTTTTCTTTGCTTTAGAATTCGTGTCACTATTGAGCTCGTTACTTTTACGCTGCATAATTTTATAATCAGAGGAATTCTTTCAAACATTCGAAGACACTTGCGATTGGTCAGTCTAATGGTACAATATAGACAATGATCGAGTAAAAACAATTAAAATCGTGGAATTGCTTTTGTCGTTTAGTGAGGGATCCCTAATTTCTGAGCGAAATAGTTTTGCATCGGTAACAACGTCCAGGACACGAAAAATTAAAGAAAATAGAAACATAAATCGTACAGAATGTCGTCAAAAGCATTCCCTGGAAGATAAAGATGTACCGACTGTACATTAAAATATTTAAATCGTTGCAAACGGTTTTCTCTTCTGTGAAAAATCATTTGCCTTGTTATATGATAATTCTTGATAGAGAAAATCAATTACCTCCTTTAACGTGACGCGACATTTCAATGTTTGCTTTTCCCATATTCGCTAACATTTTCTGTCGTATATTATATCGCATTATAGCGTACCGCATATCGTACTCGAATATCAAATATATCGAATTTGCAATTACATATATCAATACATACATTCTCAAAAATCTTGCTCGGATACCGATGATCGACGTTAACAAACCGAAACGGTACATTCATTACGCCCATACTTAAACTTGATTCAACTTATATCTACGACAATTCCATTGCCGCTTCAAAACATTGCTTTATACCGAAAGGACACTCCGATTTACAAGAACAAAAAACACAATCGATCATTCCTCGCTTTTCACATTTAATAACACCCTCGCGAGAAATCGTCTTACCGCATTAAGTGCATACAACAACAGTTAACATACGGATGACTAAATCATTGTACATGCTAAGGCGCGAATATTAATATCGCAATGAATAGATTGCTAAAAATCGAGAGCCAAGATTCATCGTAAATCTTGAATTTTGATTAACGAACACCCGGAATGGATACCGGTGTATTAAATAAAAGGACGTAAGATAGTCTGGTGTATTGCTAGAATTAGTATCGACGATCAATGAGTGCGTGATCGTGCTGATATGAAAGCGCACACAACACATGAGAATAAAAAGCATTCCATAGATGGATGCTTGTTTATGTCATTATGGATATTTTTCTTCGTTCACCTCCGATGCACTTAAAAACGAAAACAGGATTGCGAATATCGGCGCGAGTGCTCGTGAATTCTTGCTTCCCATTTTATAACGTCAGTCCATGTGTCTCATATCTGAATCATTTCCTTGCGATCCTGTTTCCTCGCGCAAATATTTCAATCGGTCGCAAACGACAATGTACAATAAATTCTATCGATACACGCGAGGAACACTTCGAGCGATTATTTACGACATTATTTGCTTCGATCATTACACTCCTGTCAATGATACACTTGCACTTGCCTGATCGTAGTTTATACATAACTAGAACAAACCATACACACGCACACATGCATTTAACGTTACTTCAAAAACGTGGATAATAACTTCATAATCTTCGGCATTGATACACGCCTTCTACGCTTTCCTGTTCGTTATCCCGACACGCATTTCGTTTGGAGGAAACGCTCGAGAAACCTGAATGACCATCATACTGAACAAAAGTAATGCAACGTAATCAGGTTTAAAGCGCTTGTTGTGTAATAATAACTCATCTGTATACACTGTAATGTCGTTAAACACGGTCATCTTTCGGCGAGGGTTATTTTGGCAATTCGAACGCCCGTCAAATTTTTTCGACGGAATCCTTGGCGATTCGAAATAAATCTCCTATATCTTTCTCTCATCGGTCGAGTCTTTCGGGAAGTTCTCTTTTTTTTCTTTTTTAAATTTACATTATATAGTGACATGATCGATTTTTAGAGCGGCTTTCTTTAGCAAAAAGGCCAAGCTTTGTGAGGCTTTCTGAAAGTAGAGTTGTACGATACCATGATAGATCGTGTCGAAAAAAAAAAAACGCAGAATAAATAAAATTAAACGCTACGCATTGGTGATCTATCATCAATATCGTGTACACGCTTTGTCTTTTAACAAAGCGAAAACATCGATTAATCTACAAGACAAGTTCACTCTGATGATCTTAAGAGCATCGTGTGTATCTAGTTATTGTGCCAAATTGCGTATATTTCCTCTGAATATTATTTAAAGTCTTTGCATTGTTCGCAACTGCAAAGCATTTGTTCTAGTATCACGTAAGAAGGAACATGTATTTGTGAACGGTAAATTCTTTTAAATTCGGGAAAAAATAAAATCAAGCATGTCTTGTTAATGCCACAAACAACTTATGCCAGCGTAGCGTTTCTTTAAATCCCAAACAAAACTTATTTGTTACGCTACGATAAAAAGAAAGACATTGCAGGTTTGAAGAGGCTCTTAAA